TGGAGGGCACGTGCACCTCCTAGTAAACCATGTTGGTGGGGCACCACGGCGTGTCGGGGTACAGCAGGCAGTGCACGGAGCGGAACCTGAGGGGAGAGGAGCAAAGCTGAGCACGGAACGGTGGCAGCCCCAAGGCACCCAGGTTTGGGGGGACAGGGAGCCCCAGCTCACCTGGATGGGTCCTCCTCGACAGAGAAGGCTCCCTTCATGTGGATGGAGTTGCGCTTGTTTTCGAACATGCCGTAGCTCAGTGTCACCTGGGGGGCAAGCACAGAGGGGTGAAGTGGCCGACATGGCCGTAAGGATCAAGCAGAGGAAAGGGGAGCTGCAAAATTCACCCTATTTCCCAAAGCCTCCAGTGACATTTTGCATCACCCCACAGGGATGGAGCTTTTCCCCTCGGCTGTTTTGGTCACATATCAATCAATATCTTAGCCACAATGCCCAACTTTTAGGTGACAACTTGGGGTACCTGTTTGTGGATCTCCGACTTGGGCACCTGGTGGAGGTTCTCCAGGTGGGAGTGGAAGAGGTTGCTCCTGATGAGCTTCACGCCCAGCACAGACTCGATGATGTAGCCGATGGTGCAGTCGTCAGGCAGGCGAATCTTCTCTGCAGTGCTCATGAAGTGACCCCCGCTGCGGGGAGACAGAGAGGGGCTGCAGAGGAGCAAAGCCCAGGGGATGTGGGCACCCTGCGGGATTCTGGGCTTGGCCAGTGGGTGCCCAGCTCTGATTAAAAGTCACTTTGGGGGAACTGAAGCCCTTCCCAGCTTGTTTCCAAGCTCCCTGCAGACACCCCCAGAAGGCAAAGAGAGAAAGGTTGTGGGACATGGTCCAACACCCATCCCCAAAAATGTCACCTCTCTGTGCCCTGGGGACCATGAGGAGTCCCCATGGGAGAGCAACACCAATGCTCTTACCTGGCCCAAGGGCTCATCTTCAGTGCCAGCCCCCGGCTGATACAGAACCCTGCTCCACCCGTGGCAAACCAGAAATGCACAGGATGCTGCGAGAGAGGGGAACCAATGCAATGAGACAACAGCTCCTTCTGCACACAGCCCACATTAAACCAGCCCCAAACTCTCCCCGGGCTCACCATCTTGTTCTCACTGATCCTCTCCGTGGCCTGGATGGGCCGGTCCAGGCTGGGCTTCCCGATGTAGATGTCCTGTGTGTGGGGGTAGCTGGAGAGCAGCTTCACCAGCATCCGCACGTTCACGTAGTTGTCATCGTCCACGTGGCAGAACCACCTGCAGTGACAGCAGTGTCAAACCCACCCGGGCCAGCTGCCCATTCCCCAACCCCAAAACCACAAATGGTCTCTGTTTGCACCATCCTGCCCCCCTTTATCCCCCAGAGCAGCCGCTTACTTTCTGCCAGACTCAATGAACTTGTCGTACTCCACGGCCATCTTGCAGGACAGCGCCTGGCGGCTGTGGGCAGCCGAGCAGTTGGTGTTGATGACATTTCCTGCAGGGAAAAAAGAGGGGTCAAAGCCCATTGGTGCATCCCACACCTCCCCACACACTCAAACGGTGACACTTCACCACTCATGTCCCAGGTGTGCCAGGGGGATGGAAACTCATGGGTGATCCCGACGCTCAGTGACCCACAGGCTATGGTGCTTTGGGCAAATGATGAATTTTTGGGGGAATGTCTTTTTTGTCCACGTGAGAGAAGGGAAGGGAAGATTAAGCAATGTGGATGCTGCAGATGCACTGTAGAGCAGCCCTATCCACATTTTAAGCATGATGCCCCCTTACATCACCTTGCCCAGGGTGCACCAGCCACCTTGGGGGTGAGGGGATGTCTGTGAGCTCTGAGTTTCCCCAGGACATGGTAGCAAAAATCCTGCCCTGTTTTGCTTGCCCAGCTCAAAGTTAATCTCTTCCCAGCCTGAAAAGGAGTAATTTGCATGGGGAGAATAGACCACACTGACCCCAGCCCAGAAAATGCTCCCACAAAACCTTGTCTGTGTTGCCATCAATCCCAGCTCACCCCAGGGACAAAGAGGTGCAAAGGCACCCTGTAACTGTGATCTCCACCATGTAGGGGATGGGCTGGGCTGGCTGGGAAGTAAAGCTGCCCCCAGATGGGGCTCCCAGGCCGAGGGTGTTTAGGCATCATCAGTGAAACAAATTGTGTCATTCTCAACTAATGCTCCTGTGGTAAGGGCTTTTTCAGAGTTCCCAGGGCAGGACCCACACCAACCATGCTCCACAGGTGGGAGCTTTTCAGGGGACCTGGCCAGGTCACACACACAAAGGGACAAGAGCCACAGACTCACGTGCTTGCTTCTTCAGCTCCTCATCCTCCCCGTCAGTGAAGATGAAGGTCTGAAAGAGAAGACGAGGCACCTCTGAGGACCAAGGGGCTGAGAGCATGTGGCTCTGCATGTGACACAGCACCTCTGGGCAGCACCTGGGAACAGCTCCTCCAGGAAGCTGGTGGTGACTTCCTCCCCCTTGCCAAAACCCCGAGTGGCACTGGAGAGCCAGGCAGCCACACACCAACCCCAGCTGCAGACCAGGCTGGGTGCTGAGCTCCCCTTGGGAGCAAACCCTGCACGGAGCATCCCCATCCTGCTGCCTTTAGCATGGGCAGCAGCTGGCAGGGAGGTGTTGGGGGCCACAGGGGCTGTCCCCAGCACCAGGGGAGGCAGGGGCACGCAGGGGAGCAGGTGCAGAGCCTGATCTGAGCAGGGATTTCAGAGCTGAGCCGGCGCGCGTGGCGCCGCAGCAGCCGCCCAGGCAGGTGTGTTTGTCCCTGGCGCCGGCTCCAACCGCGTCCCCACCTGTGTCAACAGCACGTGCCTGTCCTTGGCCACTTGCACAATGCCCCCACAGCTCCTCTCTGCTCCCTGGGTCCTACCCAAGGGGGCTGAGATGGTGCCAGTGAGCCCCAAGGAGGGGATGGTTCCTCACTGCCCCATCCCAGCACAATCCCACGGTGCCAGGCAGCGCCCGACTGGGCCCCTGAGCTGCCTGCCCGGCTGCACTCCTCTATTTACACAGCTAATTCCTGGCATATGTCACCCAGGAAGGAGGACTGGAGGGGCTGCTCTGGGCCTGGGATTTGGGGAAGGACGAGAAGCAGGAGGGGAGAGCAGGGGGTGGGAAAGGCATCGCCATCAATCAGCGGGCAGCAAACAAAGCTGGAGGAGAGAAACCACAACCAGCTGCCAAGCGCTATTAAAAACCAGACGTGCACAAAAGGGCAAAGGAGGAAAGACAAAAGGGCTGGGGGGGAAGGCAGGAGGCAGCAGAGGGGGACGATGGAGCGCTGGGGATGATGAATTACAAGTGAGCTGGAAATTGGGTGCCACCCCGCAGCCGGCCCCGGGAGCGCGCTGGGGTTTTGTGGCTTGTTTGAGGAGCTGGGTACAATAGTGGGGTTGACTTTACTCAGCGAGCAGAGTTAAGCGGGCAGCAGTCATTAGCATACAGCTGCACTGGTTAACCCAGCCCTGTTTGCTCAGGTCCCCAGCCGGGGCTGGTGGGGACAGCCCGGAGCCTCAATGGGAGGGGATGGGGCTACAAGTGACCTTTGGGGCTTGAAAAGGAGAAAAGAAAAAAAATGATGGAGGAGGTGGGAAGGCAAGTTCTCACAAATGCACGGCCTGCCGTGCAGCCTGGCTTGTGGGGAGGGACAGAGGTCAGGAAGGCTCTGAGCAAAAGGGGATGGGGAAGGGCTGGTGAGGAGGGGACAGCTCGGGGACAGGGAGCCATCAGCTGCAGGGCCAGGGATGCTTGTGGTGCTGTGTCTCCATGGACACAGCACTGCTGGGGTGGCACAAGGTCAGTGCTGTGTGTAGAGGAGGAGCTCTCACCCCCATACAATTTGGGGTACAGCTGCTGGTCCCCATTTCCCCCAGGTGCTCAGGGACTGTTCAGGCAACTGATTGAGGTACAAATTGAAGCAGGGCAGCAGGACAGCATCCAAGGATGCCTGAGACAAGCCCATCTCACAGGGGGTTGGCACTCCAGCCCAGGTTTCAGCCTTGCTGGGGAGGGCAGGGAACACACAGCCTGTGCACAGGCGAGACAGAAAATGTTTGCTTGATTAGCTCAGAAGCGCCGTCCAGCAACTGCCTTCAGCTGCTCCAAAAATAACCCCACAACTAATCCTGCACTCAGCCTCTATAAATAGAGCACAGAGACAATTGTTTATTACTCGCCTGCACCGAAACGTTTCATCCTAGCCAGGCATCTCCCCTGGGCCCCTCCCCACACACAGCCCTGGGATATTCCTGGTGTGGGAGGGCCAGGTGCCACCTCAGGGACTGGGACAGGGGCACACAGCTGCCAGTTGCCCCATGTGGGCACCTACTAGGGCCTCACAGGTCTCCCACATCCCTCCCAACCCCACCATGACATTAAATTAAAACTAAAACAATTAAAGGCTTCATTTTTTTAAAATTAATTTTGTTATTAATTTGTGTTTCTTGGAGGGAAGATGCACCCTGCCTGCATGGTCTTTCACCTGGAGCTGCAGGGGAGAGGAGCAGAGGTGACAGCCTGGAAGGGGATAGGCCAGGAAAGGATGAGACCAAGCAAAAAACATGAATCCACCTTTGGCATCTCCCATGTAGGATGCCAGACATGAGGGCAGAGTTCAGTTTGTAGTGGTGCAAGTGGGCACTGCAGCCAGCATCCCTGAGCTGTCACCTGTGAACCATCACCCCCAGAGCACTCCCAGCCCTCACAGCCACCTCTCTCCCACCTGGCCCCTGTACCAGCCACAGCACCGAGGGCTGCAAGGACCTCTTGGACCCCCCCCCCCCAGTAACTTTTCCTGCAGGGTGCAAGAGAGGAAGGGCCCTCTGCTCCCCCCCACCAGCCCCTTCAGGAAACCTCATTGTTCTCAGAACTGCAGCTTCAAGAAACACAGGATGCCAAGTCCCTCCCGAACAATAGCTGCCAGCGCTGCTCGCAGCCCCGCACAATGCGCGGCCCCGCGGCCGGGACTGAGCGGCACCCGGGATGGATCCCGGCGGCCAGAGCGGGGTCAGCCCCTCCCCAGTGCCCGCCAGGAGCCAGCCAGCCGCCGCCAGCCTTCTCCGAGCCCTTGGGGAGGGAGCTTTTCTTTCTTTCTTTCCTCCCCTTCGTTTCTCCTTTCGGGGTGACTCATTTCCCCTGCGCTGCTGGAGCCCGTGGGGCGCTCATGGCTGGTGCTGCACAAAGTGTCCCCTCCAGCCAGGGCCATCCCAGGGTCATTGTGGGCTCTCTGTGCTGCCCGGCCCAGTGGCTCTGTCACTTCCCAGGGTGACACACTCTCAGCATGCCCCCATGCCTGCCACCACCCCACCAAAAGGGGAACTGGGCCAGGCAGGCACCCCGTGACCCTGCAGTGCACAAACCCTGACCCTGTGCCACATCTCACTTCCCCATGCTGGGAGAGGATGGAGCACCCCAGCACCCTGTTCACAACCTGGGTGCAGAGGAAAGGAGGCAGCAAGATGTGCTGGTTGGGGGGGGCTCAGTCTCCAGCTGGGTGAGGGGTCCTGGAGCAGGTCAGGGTGCTGCCTGCCAGCTTTGTGTCCCCCAAGGAAATGTTCTTCTTATCCCTCCAGCCTCGGGGTTTAGGGGGGAAAATCACCACCCCCTTCACCAAGTTGGGAGCAGTGTGATGGCCATGTCACTTCAATGACAGCGTGCCACGATGGCAGCAGCCTACAGTCCATGGGGTGGCTTTGCCCGGACCGGGGGCGGGTCTGTGCTGGCCCCGGATCGCAGGGCTGGGACCTGCAGAGGCGGAGAAGGGGCTTGCAGGGCCGCGGGCCCTTCCTCCCTCCCCCCGCTCCCTTCAGCAAGAGGAAGAATCCTCCACTGTAATTTTAAATGCTATAATTTTTAATAACCTCCTCACAAACAATGAGCTCATTGTGTGGCGAGGGTCCCCCACCCTCCCTCCCGCCTGGTGCTCCACGCGCCGCTCGCCGGCCCCGGGGCTTTTATGGGCAAGGACAGCAGCATCCTTCCTTCGGGACGGGCAATGGAGGGGCTCCCACCCCTTAAACCCACAGGCTGCGCCGGGGGACAGCAGGGAGGGACCCTCACACCCCACCCGAGTTCATGGGTGCTCAGCAGGGCCTGGCACCCAGCCCAGGGCCGGGGGGAGGCAGCTGCACTGTGGGGCTGGTTTGGGATGAGCAGCCCCCGGTCCCAGCCCAGCTCTGGTGGGAGTGCGAGTGAGACTGGCATGCCAGCACACTCCGGCGTGTGGGTGGGGACCCTGGCCAAGGTGCTAGAGGAATTTGGGAGCCGCCATCAGAGGAGCGTGCTCTTTGGAAGGCGAGCCCGTTGGCTTTGCCCCGAGAGCAGGAATTTTTCAAAGGCTGCAATTACCGACGGGAGGCAGCCAGCGGATCCCACGCTGCCGGGACGGTGGCCCGGGCTGAGCCCCGGCGGGCTGCGAGGCGTGTGCCGAGCTGCCTGGATGCCTCCGGGTGCCCCAGGGACACCCAGCGCCTCCAGGGCACCCCCAGGGGCAGCAGAGGTGTCTTTGGCGGCTGTGCCGCTGCAGATCACCCGACTCGGCAAGAAAGCAGTGGATTTGGAGTTGCTCCTGTCCAGGATTTCTGCTTTATGGTCATTTTCCTCCCCTCTCTCTTTCCTTTCAAGTGCAAAGTTTCTACAGCATCCTGAGGATACTGAGACAGCTAGAAACTCTCCTCAAAGCAAAGAGGGGAGAGCGCATAACTCTCCTCCAAAAGCAGCTTGTCCGGCCTGGATTGTGCAACCCAAAGAGGGGATTTAGAAGGGAATAGGGATGTGCTCTCCCTGTGCAGAGAGGCAGGAAGGAGAAGGGGGTGCCCTTTGCAGCGTCTTGGAGGTGACAGAGGGCAGGAAACAGGGACTATTGTGGGCAGAACAAAGAACGGCCAAGGAAGGACACAATGGCTGTTCCCCCTATCTGCCAGGAGCTACCTGCTGGATTTAACCCCTTCTCAGCATGTCTGCATCCCTCCTGCCTGGCTAATGAACAGCCAGAGGGAGCCTGGGGGTTGAGTGAGAGGAGGAAGAGAAGCTGCATCAGGCAAAGGAGATTCTCAGCCCCTGGGCAGGAACTTCCCCGCGTTGGTGAGGCAGCTCACATGCCTGAGCACCATTAGTGAAACCCAGAATGAGGGAGGATGAGCAGAGACAGGCCTGACTCAGACCAAGAGAGACGTTTGTGCAAAGGCAGTGCCACCAAATCACCGTCCTGGGATGGAAACCAGGGGGCCAGGCAGGGAAGAGATGCAGGGAAGCAGGAAAGAAGAGCCCCATAGCACCAACCCCACACTCTGCAGGCAAAAATCCCCAACCTGATGCCAAGCTTGGGGAAGCCCAGGATGCCTCAAAGCCTCCCAGGGACAGCGTGGGAAGGGCAGAGCCGGTCACCCCCAGCAGGGCGGGCTCATCCCCTGTGCTCGCATCCCTGCTTTGCCCCGCAGGAGTTCGTGCTGCCTCCAGCTCTCTCGGCAGCTCCTTGTGCTCAAGTGCTGTACAAGAGGCGTCACTCAGCGGCTTGGCTTGTCAGGCAGGCACCTCGCCGGGCTGCGGCCCCCCTGGCTTCATGGCCCTCATCTCTAGGCAACCTGACCTGGACACGGCCGGCTCCGGCTCCCTCGTTCCCATGGAAAGTGCCACACAAGAGGCTGCGAAGCCTTTTCTCTGCGCCAGGAGAAAAGGGGCTTTGTTAGCTTGCCCAGGGGGACAGCGTGAGAGCCGAGCCTCAGGGCTCTGGGAATCCAAACGGACAAACGAAGCACAAAAAAAAAAAAAAAGAAAAAAGAAAAAAAAACCCTAGAAGAAAGCCGGAGCTCACAAGAGGGAGAAGAAAAAAAAGAGCAGCCATTCCCAGGATCATCTGTAGGTGCTCAAAGAGCGTTTCACTCCACCACCACTCACCACCCCCTCGCAGTGACAGCAGAGCATAAAAGAGGTTTCCATTAAATAACTGGACCAAGGAGAAGTGGCAGATCCACTGCCAAGCCCAGGAAACATGAGCAAAAAACACAAAAAAACCCCCACAATTCACAGGGGAAAAATGCAGCAAGATAATTCTTGGGGTGCAGTGAAGGAGCCAAGACCCCACAGGGTCCAGCAGACCTGGGTGAGGGGGGCATGGCATGGGCAGGTCAATCCTTCCCCCATGACCTCCACCCTCAGCCACTCCAGATTTCCAAGGAAAACAGTTTGCAAGCAAGAAACTGAGTTCCAGGCCAGGAGGAAACACGTGAAGACAGTAGGAAGAAAAGGTTAGGACCAGACATAACTTACTTTTGGGAAGCTGTCTAAGGGTAGAAAAAGTGTCTTAAGAGCAAATGGCAAAGCACATTTCCTAAGGAAACAGCTTTTTTTTTTTTTTTTCCCCTTTTGAATTTTGCTTCAGTACTTGAAGGACAGAGCAAGAGACTGCCAGGACTCTGGGCAGGACATCATTAAGGTCAGGAACCAGACTCGCTGGAGCTGCCCCGGTGTGGGTCAGCCCACAGAGCTCCCAGCAACTCCAGTCCTGCCCAGTCCTTCGCCAGGGGACCGAGAGCTTCAGCACATCCCAGCAGCACGTCTCCCAGCCCTGGGCTCATAAACTGGGTGTTTTTTGAGCAGCACAACTGCGGGGGCCTGACCCGGCCTGTGGCACCCACGGGCTGGGCTGTACCCCCACACCGTACCTCAGTTTACCAGCCAAAAGCAGAGCAGCAATGGGGGTACTCAGGGAAAAGGACCCCAGAGCAGAGTTTGGGGAGGGTTCTGAGTGCGAGGAGCCAAAATCGGGCTCCCTCCATCACTCACCCTGCAACGCTGCATTTCACCCTCCCAAAAACACAGTTAGCTGCAGAACAGCCCAGCCAGCCTCAGAACACCGCCCTGCTCAGCGATATGGGCACAAGGGAAGGGCAGGTGGTGTTTGCTGGGTCACGGCACCACCCGGATTGCACAGAACGAGGTGCCAGGACCGCGGCAGAGAAGCGTGGGCTGCAGCCCGCCCCGA